GGGAAGGGAGGCACAGGGAAATCATGTTTGTGAAGCTTTCAAGGTGTGGAGTCCAGTGACAGGAAGAAATCGCTCAAGGGGTTTGTGAACAACTTATATACAGTATCTGCAGAGGAATTGAGTACTGTATTTCTGTACTTAATGCAAAATAGTGGTATCTAAAAGGAAAATTAAATTCCTGGAGCAACCCAATTTTAGACTCCATCTACAACTGCATAATGTAGATGCCTACAGTACACAGTTACCATAAATCAATTTAATGATGGATCCACATTTTTTTATCTTTTACATTTTATTATACCACTTTTCTGATTTATATTGGTTCATTTGTTCTCTGCAATATGCAGTTTTCATTTTTCACTGATAGCAAACCAGCAGTCATAGAGCTACAGTCAGAGGTTTTGTGTGCATGTTTGGTATATAGAAAAAATGTTGAGTGACCTTTACTTCTACTCTTAATTTATATGAGTGTTACCAGGGAAACTCTTGTAGGCACAACTAATAAAACGAGATAGTAATAGTAATAGTTCTTTTTTTCATTTCTTTCCTAAGCTGAATGAACAATAAAAAAATCTATATTAAGGTTGGAAGTATACTGTAGATGTCTATGTTGTGAATGTTTATTTTAGTGCTACAATATGAATGTATTTTTTCAGTCCTAATTGATATCTCTTGGATATAATATTGAGTATTTTATTACAATAGAACAAAATATTGTAATAAAGTATGGTGTAGAATCTCTATAATCCAAAGCAATATAAATATAAAGTAATATGTATGAGATGTAAGGATGAGACTAATGCCTTAATTACAACTCATTTAAAAGCTATGTAATTTGCATGTTTCTATAATATATAAATTCATATATGCTGAACCTCTTGTTCCATAGGTGTGAGAAGAATCTCAGTTGATTGAATGGCTTTGTTTTTACCCCCCCAAACAATCTTTGAAAAGTTTTTCTAAATCAATTCATGAACTTTGGGCTTATGGACTCTTGAATAGGTTTGTTTGCCTGTATTAATCCAAAGTCCAAGGGTTATGCATCGTATAAATACACAATTAATTTAGAAAGGCAAAGACAGTTATTGACATTCAAGTTTCATGAGTTCAAGACAGTGCATACAATGTCTTATACACAGGCCTTTTTCTGGATATTCCTCTCCCCTTTAGCTACGTTTGTCCTTGATCAAATGCACACGTTTTGCAATTAACTAAAAACATTTGCTGTCATTGTTCTAATGCTTAATAAAAATATTAAAAGTGAAATATGGACAAATATATCTACTGCTAATGTCAGTACTGGCTGCAAGGAAATCAAATAGTTTAATAAGATCTCTTTGGGCCATGATATCTTTAGGGTAGATGAATGGTTCTCCAATGAGCTTGAATTAAGTGGCTATTGCAGTGGTGTTAGTCAGACCCACAACCTCTCATTCAGCTGACAGCTATACTGAGTCTATGTGGTAGTTCATTTCAGGGGGAGAAAACTGGACAGGGACTCTTACTAGCAAATCCACCTAAGCTAGCTTAATTTAAATAAAATCATAAGTAGTGTGTCTACAGAAACCCAGAAAAAAAATGGAAAAGAATGCGTAAGTTATTCCTTAAGATAGTGCACCATGAATAACTATTGACATCTACCCTTGATGTTTATTCATCATTAAAGAGTGTTAATTAGAAAGTGATAATAAAATGGTTTTATCTTTGAGTCATTTTAATGTTGATCATCATATCACGTTCAATAGCTACTTATCCAATATAGGGTCGAGACTTGCCCAGGAAGCACTGGGCACTAAGCTGGTTACACCCTGGAAGGGATATAAGTCCATCACAGGCACACACAGACACCAACACGCACACACTCACACCATGGACAAGTTTACAGAAGCCAATTAACTGAACATTACTGTACTGTATGTCTTTGGACTGTGGGAACATACTGAAGTACCCAGAGGAAACTCAAATAAACACAGGGAGAACATACAAACTCCACACAGATAGTTCTGCAGGCCCAGAAGTGCCCCAGAGCAGATAGGCAGCAGTGCTAATGACTGCGCTAAAGTTTCACCTGTTTTAATAATAATATCCTAACATAAAACCATTTGAAGTCAAAGTGGTGTTCTACATGAAGAATTTGGTTCTTTCGTTTTATTAATTCTTTTCCCGTCCATTTATATTGTTCCTCCATAAAACAATAATAATTAAGAAGCTCTTTCTTGCCAGTATTGTTTATAGTTATTGTTACAAATATTGCAAGTGACTATTGAAGTGTCTTGATGAATCTACATCAAATGAGTAACATGTGACTGGTGTTAACATTTCCAGTTCTTGGAAGCTTCAAAGCAAGAATAAGTTTGCTGAGATGCAGGGGTAGGCAATTCAAGGATCAGAGCAATCCTACATTTTATCTAAGTTAACTAACTTCTGTGTAAATGAGCAGTCCATGAACAGAGCACAAAACAGGCAGACAGAAGGGACAAAAGAAGAAGGAAGAGACAGGAGGGACGACAAGGGGCAGAAAGTCGAGTGCTTCTTGTCCTGATCCATAAAGACCAGATTAGAGATAAGTATTTGAACCTTGTTAATAGAGCTTTCTATTCTATTCTTTCTCACAAGTACACATCTGGCTCACTGCCCACCCCTATGACTTGCAACTCGCTACGAGAAAATCAAACCAGTTTGATTTTATTGTAGCGAGTTGCAGAGAGTTGTAGGGGATATTAAGAGCACTATGACTGAGTCGATGGAGGTGTCACACTACACAACTAATGGTAACAGGCAGGCGCTGTGACTCTCTACAACTTTCTGTGATTTTCTTATGATTATGTATATAAAGGCTACGACTGAAAATCCTAGGAAAAGTCGTGTAGTGTGACGCTGGCATTAGTTACAGTACTTTGATTTTCTGTGTCTCTCAGGTTAAATACAGCCTCTCTTGGTTAGTGTGAAGATTTCAGAATAGGGAGATTCCCATTGATTTTGTAGCATACAGGTTTACAGGTATTTGCTGTAGCAGGCTTGACAGCAGTCGGGGGGTTTTCTGGGTGGTCAGGACATAGGCCTCTTGAACACCTTTTATGTAAAATTGTAACTTGTGTCCAAACATGTGTGTTGTACAGTATGTTGATGTTGTGTGTAGTTTTACTGTGCTGATAAATATTTGTTTAAAGGTGAACAGCTGTCCCACTTTTTTTCAGATCAGTTATGAAATCAGTTACAAAAGGAATTCATTGATGTTATAGAAAAAATCTACAAATTTCTAATTATGCACAATATCATGAATTTTGTGAAAGTACCATAAGTCGCCATGTTGTTGCAAACTCGCTTTTGAGTTCCCGCGAATTGCCCTTCCTGGTCACTAGTCTCTGTAATAATTAATGTCATGTATGAGCGAATAAATACAGGTTGTGCAGCAGACACATTACCGCAGAAATGTTCCAATTTAATCTGCATCCAGAGGTCACAAGTAAGTAGTATTTGTTGGCTGAATGTCTCCAAATCAAAAGCAATATTTCTATTGGACTAAAAGATATATAGTCACAAATCTGTTTGTTTACAATGTCAAAGGGGCTGCATATGTCACCAGAAGTTTTGTTGCCTTGTTCTGAATCACAGAATATGGCGCTGTGCATGCCTGGAAATCTCGTCTGTTTTATGATGTCAATTGGAAGTTTTACAAGATACTGTGTCCATTTTACTTTTATTGCTGTTTGAAATGCACTCATCAATGCTGTTTCTTTCTAACCCCAAAATATGAAAATAGCATTGCAGTTCCTCTTTAACAAGTGTGCCTGAATTGTTACTCTTTTCACTAAAGTTTTGCCAGAGCACAAAGAACTCAGGTGCCTCTAATTATAGCAACCCCTTGGGTATATTCTTGGGGAAATAATTTACAAGTTGGAGGTTATGATTATTTAATTTAAATACTGATTAATTCACTTGGCTTATTTCTGATAATTCACTTTTTTTCAGAACCCCCGTTTGTAGCATTATGAATCATACTTATCATATTCTTCTATAAGATCAATTATACCTAGAATTTAAAGGATGCAAAGGAGCATATCAAAGGTGTGAAAAAACATATCTTTAATTAAATTTTATTCTACACTCTATTTTGCAAAGTATCATTCAATAGGGAAATCAGAATCAGAAGCTCTTTTGAAAGAGGACATAAGTAATTTTTAAAACTATGCTAAGTTATTCCTTTTTAATAAGTTGCATAAATTATGTTTAGTAAAGATAAATAAAAGCACTGTAGCAAAAGTTGGCAAGTACAGATCAAGAGATTTCTGTTGGATGCCAATGCCCATAGTGGAGGTCTGAAATCCCAAAGCTTTGGGAAGATTCGAATTGAAAACTTGAAATGCTTTCATCACATCACAAAGTGAGGATTATTAAACAGCCTTTAGTGTGTTCTGTATTCAGGCTAAATTAAAGTGGTTTCACTCAGTCTGCTAGACCTCAAGGGTCCAGGTAATTAAATTTTTAAGAAGTAATTCAAAAATCCACAGTTAGTCAATAAAATAATGAGGCAGAAGATGCTGGGTGAATTCATCTGTATTTCCAGTGTCTTTGGTTGCATGTTTCTCTCTGAGACAAAAAATATGCTACATTAATGATGTCACAAGTGATACAAAAGCAGCATCTTATGAGTTATTTCTTCAGATAAAAAATGCAGCAATGAAAACATATCTTAACTTTAGAGACCTGTACATACCTTGTTGTGTCATGTCCTGAAAAAAACATTAAATAGTAATGAACCCACAATGCTTTTTAACCTTTCTTAACAAGTGAGCATAAGTTAAACAGTACATAATCATACAGTATGTCCAAAGCTTTGTTTCAAATTATATTGTCATTCTGGTTTGTGCTGGTATGACGCATCACAAAGTGCGTGCCTGGTGATTTCATCGATCCTTGGTAGCTGTTAAAATATGTGAGTGTTTACAGTTTAAGAGCTGCAGTCATTTTATTCATACAACACAATGCTTGTTTTCCAGGAATTACAACGGTATTGACGATGACAACAATCAACACCCATCTTCGAGAGACGCTACCCAAGATTCCCTATGTCAAAGCTATAGACATGTACCTGATGGGCTGCTTTGTTTTTGTCTTCTTGGCCTTGCTTGAATATGCTTTTGTCAACTACATCTTTTTTGGAAGAGGCCCACAAATGCAGAAGAAGCTTGCAGACAAAGCAGAAAAGGCTAACAATGACAGGACCAAATATGAGGGCAACAGGGTAAGTCTCCTTTATGTCTGTTCATTTGCATTGATTAAGTTAACTCAGCCTATCACAATGAAGAAAACCACTGATATAAACTGTTTTAAAATATTGGAATAACTTTATGGTGTATGCCTTGAATGAATAAATAAGTATCAGGAACTTCTTTATAAATTCCAAATTAATAGAAGGCTCGCACAGCATGCTCAAATATTATATGGTTTTTAATCAGAATAATGTTCTGTGTAATACCAATTTAACAATCCAATAAAGTGAAATTCTCAAATGGATTTAATTCCATGTTCGTGCACAAATTAATATTATTACTAGGTTTTACATCTTAGTAAAAAGTGATGATTCTTAAACTTAAAATGATGCTTCTGGAATTCCACAACAGAAGAAATGAAAGAATAATATTATTTTTATGTTTTGTAAAGATATATCAAAGTATTAGCCTATTAACGCTGTACTCACAATGACTAGATTCCATAATCTAGATGATAGATTCCATAATCCTTATCTTTGTAAATTTAAAGAACTGGTGCCTCAAGTAACAGATATATTGTAATTAGTTGCTTAAACTTTCAAAACCAAGCATAAAGAAGTACCATACAAAAATTACCAAAACAGGACAAACTCCTTTAGCATCAACAGTCTCCTTTAGCATCAACTGACCATTGTTTGTCCAAAATTCTAAAATATGTAAATGATATTAAATTAAATATATATTAAAATAAACTAAAACAAACTGGTAAAAGAATTTATTAAGTGCCAGAATGTTCTGTCTTCATTAATTATGAGTGGCTTGCCAGTAATGTAGAATTAAAACCTTTGGAAGTGAGAAATAAACAAGAACAACTGTGGATGCAAGAATGCAGAGTAGGAATTTAACTATAAGGACAGCAACTACTACCAAAATATGCCCCTTCAAAACATATACTGTAAACCCTTCAGGATGGTGAAAAGTATGTGGCCCAGTTTCTGAATCAAAAATATTTCTAAAGCTGCCATCAAACACTTGAATTAAATTAGCTCAATGTACAGTATCTGCTGTTATCTGATGCTGCACAGTGAGATGTAGTCTAAAGTGATTCTAATGTAGCAACCTCCATTAAAACAAGTGGTTAGTCCCAGGAAGGAAGAGATTAGGTTGCACCACCATACAGTAAGTGCTACTCAGAATTAAAGGTCCATCATCTAAAAATGAGTCAGTAAAACAGAAAACTTAAATTTCTCTTTGCAAGTACAACCAATGTGGAGAAAGTGGCACTACCACCCTGATGCCTGATCTTGTCAGGTCACAATTTAAGAAAGTTGGACCTGGTGGTACTGTAGGTCTTCGGGTTGTAATCTAGGTTTAGCTGGAAGTGGTAGTGGTATACCAGTATACTCTTTCCTCTGGTCCAGACATTTATATATAAACCATTCATATAATTTAAAACAAAACTAACTTATAACAATTAAATATGAGAAACATAATACATTGGTCAAAAAAGACCATGCATAAGTATGGTGACAAAGAACACTGTGTTGTAGAAGGTTATGTCCTTTGGATAAAATGTCAAACCAAAGTCCAGACTTGGTCATTGAAGGCTCCAGGGCACTCATTAGATTAAGGGTGTTCACCTCAACATCCTGGCTAAATTCTACCATTAACTTGCACAACCTTGCCCCTCTAGACCTTCCTCTTCATCATTGGAAACATCATTTTTGATTTCTCCAGTGGTCTCTGTAGTGGGTTTCTGGAGCATAACGGCTTAGGTGGGCCCCATTCTACATATTGGAGTAATTTGGGATCATCTGAGATAAAAAACACTATACAGATTCAAGTAAATATTATCATAAAGTCTTATCATACATACAGTAAGAGTCAACATGCCCTGGAAAAGTAAGTAATACTTCATATAAACGAATCCATATTTATTTTGCAAATCTGAAGCAATTAGCTCTCTTCAGTTTAAGCCATAGATACAGCCTATTGAAAACACTGCTGTTGCCAATGTATCTTGATCAGGATGTTAACTTAATAGAAGATATATCACAGTTAACTAGGAATAACAGAATAATAAGACCAAGAATGAAGTGTATTTAAAGGATTATGCAGTTTTTTGTAAATATTTTGGCTAACCTCCTGGCCACAAAACAAGAAAGCAAAGGTGGAGATGAGGTGGAGGTGGGATGCACAAGACATACACGTGGAAGAGAAGGATCATATATAGTATTTATAGTACTATAAATAAGGAGTAATCAAGAGTAATTGCTAATTATTGACTGCTGTGTTTGAATGAACTTGATTGTTGTCATCCCTCCTAAATGTTCATTACAAACTTCATTATATCTTCTATTAATATATAGATTCTGGATAATTACTGCTGATAACAAAGCCAACTGAAAAGAAAGAGAATGAGACAATGTTTTATATTTGTCCCAGAAACCTAAATGACCTTAAGTACATTACTGCAAAGGCCAGTCTGCTAAAGTCAGAACATTTTTAAAGGTTTCACCTAATTTTAAAAAAGTATAAAAAATGGTGTGAATACGGAACTAGAGTACAAGGTAAAAGTGTTCATAGAGCATAGATTTATGTGTGGAAAGATGAGGGGTTAATAAACTACCTAGATTAATAATGAACAGACCCTTACCAAATTTCCACTTTAGTTTACATTTGATACGTTAGTGGCTTTCATTGTATGAAATTAAGATTTACATGTTAATATTACTGACTATTCCCCTAATTTTTTTGTATTGTTCTGATGAGGCTCTCACAAAGAAGATTTTTTTTTTTTGCCGTAGTCTGTTCTGGAAGGAGGCAATTGCAAGCCAACGTCTGTTAAACAGTCCAATCAGGCGCAAGGGCATCGGCACTCACGAGCGGTGAGTGTGGATCTGTGGCTGTGTTTCCCGCTGAACATCCCTGAAACATTGCAGAAAAGCAAAGCTTTCTTTGGAAGACAACAACATTCAAACCGCCAAACCATTTGTTATGAGATCACTTTGTCTGTTGTGCAAATGGCCATTTGTTTTGCTGGTCACATGTGGTCCTCCTTCCCCTCCTTTTTTGTGCATGCTCAGCTTTGCAACCTTCTGTACATGCAGACAGCTTTAGCTTGTTTACTGATGGAGTAGTTGGGCTGATTTATTTAATTCCTATTCCTATTGACAAGGAATCATTCTGGAGATATTTTTTTAATGTCTGCCATTTTGGAGTAGCTCCAAACAGGTGCCGGAATCAGAAAGAGATGTGAAAATTTTTTAACAAGACATCAGATTCCTTTAGGTCATGTATGATACCATGAACAGCACTTTGATCCTTTACACCAATGAATATGACAACCATATTTAATTAAATAGCCATTTTAAATTCAGTACAAAAGGTCAAAGCCAGTGTATGAAGTCTATTTCTCATTTCATCCACAAGGTCTTTTTCTGCATCTCTTGTAAACATTTCAGAACTATTGGAAAAAGACATTGAAGAATTTGCCCCCAAACTGTCTGTTAATTTAAATCTATAAAATGGTCTGTGAACAGGTGTCAGGGAAAATTAAATTGATGTAAACTGCACTAAGCTTTTTATATCTCCAAAAATGATCAGAGGAATTTAAAGATAAAAAATGTTCAATGTCCTCAATCATTTTGTATCAACAGAACACTGCAACCGTAAGAGACTGAAGAGAATTTTGAAAAGCATAATGTAAAAATTATGAAGCTATGCAGGAAAGATGAGACTCTGCCATAATATAATCTCTCTCATAATCTCTTTCATTCACAATCATGGAATGGATGGATCACATTTCTTTTTTATGATTACAAATTACGTAGTTTAAAATATTGTCCAAACAACTGAAATTAAAAATATAAGAACAAAAAATAAAATAGTGAAACAAACAAGTATTTTTGGATTAAATGTAGCCATCACAGATTTCTGAAATATTGGAAACAATATCAATTCAAAACACCATATATTTGAATGCACAAACTAAAGATGAGTGTGTCTTAGCTCAAATTATTAGCACTTCTGAAAATTCTGTCTGGGGAAAATTAAGCAGACAAAAATGTAAAAATGGAGCATGCTTTAAAAAGGTCTTACTATAAATAAAATTCATATGAGGCATCTTTATAATATTATAGGCTGGGACTCATTTTTTGTCAATATCTTTGATATAGGACTGCTATTGAGATGGTTGCTAAGGACAAGGTGAATGTACAATTTTAGATTCCATCTTAGAATCCCTCATAAATCTTGTCCATTATGCATCACTTTATCTGCATTAAGCTCTAAAAATAAAGACACGAAACAATGCACATTGCTCCGGCTGTTCAATAATTGTACCCCTCAGGTTCGTTTTAATGAACAGCATTTTTCTTCCTTTCTTTTTCAAATACTTTTATTGTAGACGTTGGTATACCAAAAAGCTCCCCCTCTTTAGAGGAGGGAACAATCATTAAAAGTTAGTTTGAAGAGGAATAAGCTTTGAAAAATCACAAATAGGGACCTACTGTAATTGATAACTCTATATTATTAAACTGACTAATTTTTCCAGTAGCTTCTACAATAAACGCATGGCCTGTGCTATGTTTACAGGCTTAGTCCTTTTTACTTAATTTCTTGCAGAATAAGAGAGAAAACTACTGTTTTATTTTAAAAGTTCAAAATATTTTTCTGAAATATATCTTGCTGATTTTTATAGAGCATTTGCTAGAATTATATGCACCCCAAAGAATCTACTGCATATGCCTTCTTCTTAATCTTAATGCTGAAATCACTTGTATTTAATTCAGTAATGTCTACTAGACCCACCTTAATATACTGAGGAGTTTAAATCAATATCTGCAATTAAAAACATTCGTAAAGCCCTTTCATGTTCAAAGAAACAAAATATTAATTCTAACCTACATCAAATGTTTCTATGTAAATAACAAAAATATATTGTGTAAAGTATGCTGTTCTAAGAAAACAAGCAGCCTTCCTTTTGTACGATGCCTTCCCCTGGCTGGGGATTTAATGAATGATCTCCAGTACATGTATTATAAATCAAATCTTACCACAGTCTTGAAAACCAGCTGCATCAAAGATCTGCAGTCCATTGAACATTGACTGTAAACAAAAAAAAATCAGTCTTTAGGGATATCACTTCCCCTTCTGTAGATAGTATACATTTCCTTTACTTTTAAGTTAAAAATACATAACTCATACCTGCTGTAAAACTTTGCTATCTGTCATAGCCCTGTTTCACAAATAAAATATTTATTTTTGTTTTTTTATTTTAAAAAATGAAGAAAGTGCTAGATTTTCTCTCAAATACAATATCTTAATACTTCTGCTTTTCTAAATAAATAAGCAATGCAATTAGCATTTCTGCTTGTTAAGCATCCAATAGGTATTCTGCAACTGTCTATTGTGAACTTGATTATTAATTGTTGCATTAGTGAGTGAGTTTAAATACAAATGTTGAACAGTGGAAAAAAGATGCTTTCATGAAAGACATACAGTATGGTATACATGTACCTTTAGCATCAGTTGATTACCCACTGCATATTTAAGCAAATATAAACTTTTATATTTATAGCTTCAAACAATATTTAATATAGCTTTGGAATTTTAATAGAAAATAATCTTTTGGAATCTTTTGGAATGTATAGTACTGTTAAAAAGACAAATACTTCTCCTTTGATGAAAAGTGAAAGCCAAGGCATTATGTCAAATTCTACTGAGCAGAGAGCACGCTCCCATTTTCTATTATAGTGTGGTTTTGATTTGAGTCATGAACAAATGCTGAAAATTGTCTTAAAACAGTATTTAGGATTTATCATCTCATAACACAGCTCAATGGACCACCAGCAGGGCTAAATTTACTGCAGCTCATCAGTCGCACCTAACCCATCTATGTTGCAGATGATGTACAGTTGCATGAAAAAGTTTGTGAACCCTTTGGAATTACCTGGATTTCTGCACTAGTTACTCATAAAAATGTGGTCTGATCTTCAACTAAGTCACAATAATAAACAAACACAATCTGCTTAAACTAACACACAAACAATTGTACTTCTTCTTGTCAATATTGAACACATCATTTAAACATTCATAGTTCAGGCTGAAAAAAGTATGTGAACTCTTGTACTTAGTAACTGGTAGAACCTCCTTTAGCAGCAATAACCTCCACCTAACTTTCCTGTAGCTGCTGATGAGATTTGCACAATTGTTAGGAGGAATTCTAGACCATTCCTCCTTACAAAACTGTTTCAGTTCACTGATATTTCTGGGATTCTTTGCGTGAACAGCTCTCTTCAGGTCATGCCACAGCATCTCAATTGGGTTGAGGTCTGGACTCTGACTTGGCCATTCCAGAACATATATTTTCTTCTGTTTAAGCCATTCTGTTGTTGCTATACTCCTGTGTTTTGGGTCATTGTCTTGTTGCATCACCCAACTTCTATTAAGCTTCAGGTGACAGACTGCTACCCTGACATTCTCCTGTAAAATTTCTTGATACAATTTTGAAATCATTGTTCCCTCTTTGAAAGCAAGTGGTCCAGGCCCTGAGGCAGCAAAGCAGCCCCAACCCACGATGCTCCCTCCACCATGCTTCACGGGTGGGATGAGGTTTTGGTGTTGGTGTGCAGTGCTTCTTTTTTCGTCCTAACAGCTTTGCACATTTTTGCCAAAGAGTTTTTTTTTGTGTGTCATAGAACATTGTCTCAGAAGCGTTGTGGAACATCCAGGTGGTCCTTCCATTAACATCATTCTTGTTCAGTGTTTTTCTTATAGTGGACACATGAACAGAGACTTTGGCAAGTTCAAGAGATTTCTGCAGGTCCTTTGTTGTTACCCTAGGGTTCTTTTTCACCTCCTTCAGCGTTGCACACTGAGTAGCAACAGTACTGAATTTCCTTCATTCGAAGACAAGGCCTTTAGAAATGCTTTTGTAGTTCTTCTTCTAAGGTCCTCTGATATTTCTTTTGATAGGGGCATGGTTCACATAAACAGTTCTTTCTTGAGAATAATTTTGTATAGGGTAGGGCACCTCCAACACCTCCAATGTCATCTCATTGATTGGAACACCTGACACCAATTAGCTTTTGGAGAAGTCATTAGCCTAGAGGTTCACATACTTTTTCCAACCTAGACTGTAAATGTTTAAACGATGTGTTCAGTACGCATAAGAAGAAGTACAATTGTTTGTGTGTTATTAGTTTAAGATTGTGTTTGTCTATTATTGTGACTTAGTTGAAGATCAGACCACATTTTTATGAGTAAATAATGGAAAAAACAATGTAATTCCAAAGGGTTCACAAACTTTTTCTTGCAACTGTATATTAAAGAAAATAATAATCATTTTAGGAACAGTTTATCATGCTTCTTTACAGACTTTTTCATGCTAGAGCTTTGTTACTGTATTGTTCTACAGTATGTGCATCTTTTGCATGTGCAGTTTTATCTTATTCATGTGTATCGTGCATTGTCATGTGTACTGTATGTATAAGTGCATTATTTAAACCGATAGGACTAATGTACAAATGTGTATGTAACGTTTGTGTATTAGAGAAATTTAAAATGGCCGTTACTTTGCAAATAGAGTCACGGCTAAAAAAAAATATGCACTGTAACTTTGGAAGTGTTGCACAGAAAGTCCATTGGTATTTCAGTCAAACATCCAGTAAACAAATTTATTTTGGTCTGGAAATTCACACACAATCTGCAAAGATCCAAGTGTTCCTGATTTTTGAAAATCTGATAATTTACATTAATTATAACAGTGTCTGATTTGGCAGTCTGAACGTGGTAAACTTTCACCTTATTCTTTGATGACAAACATTTAGATGAAAACAATAGATGACTATGCAGAATACTCTTTTTAGATAAGATGGGTGTTGCTCAGCACCTTTGGTTATAGTGCTCTGTCCAGCAGTTACTCTATAAAGCCCTCATATGAAGCATATGATAGACTACATAAACTCTGTGAAGAAGGTTTCATGTAACCTGAATCAACATTGTATGGAAAATATTTCGCAAGAGGCAATTTCTCAAAAAATGAAATGATGGAAACTGAGGGGTTTTTTTTCTAAAAAATAATGCCCATAAAAGGTGTTCTAAAGCAAATGTATCACTATTTCAAATCTCACAGATTGAATTCAATTATCAAATAAATATGGTCCCCTTGATTTGTACTAAATGGCAGCCCTGTGTGTAAATCCTCTTTTAATGTTTTGATACATTTCACAACTGTCTAACCAGTACTCTCTACCTAGCGTATTTGTAAGATCATTGGTGAGCTACAAATGTATGTACTAAACTATTATCGAAGGTAATTAAAAGACGACTTTCAAAACTTTTTGCATTAGAGACAAATGCTTCCCTTTTTCATACTCCAATGAAATATGCTGTATATTCATTTCACATTAATGTTTCATACCAGTATTGTTTCTTACTTCTTTTTAAAAACGGGTGAAAACCTAGCTCTGAAGCAAAAGCTATGGAAATCTCCCAAGTAACTACTATCTGATAGAGCAATGTAAAATGTACAGTATATACTGTATTTACAATATTTTTTTATATTTTGAATCTAGGTGGATGCCCATGGAAATATTTTGTTAACGACATTGGAGATTCACAACGAAGTGGCAGGCAACGAGATCACAACCAGCGTCACGGAATCGAGGAATTCCTCCACAGCCTTCGACAACTCAGGAATCCAGTACAGGAAACAGAGCATGCCTCGGGAAGCCGTTGGACGTCACAACTTGGACCGCAGCGCCCAGCTAAAGAAGAGCCGCCTAAGGAGAAGGTCCTCCCAGCTCAAAATAAAAATTCCCGATCTGACTGATGTGAACGCTATTGACAGATGGTCGAGGATAGTGTTCCCCCTAGCATTTTCACTCTTCAACTTAATTTACTGGCTTTACTATGTGAACTAAATGTTGAGTTGGGAATCTTTGGTTCTTTCTTTTTGAAAAGACTGCTTCTATGTCAAGGGTAGAATTGTTTACCCCTTTTGTCAAAGTTTTTATACTTGCAATCTTACCTAAAGTAGGGTTTACAAATGAATTGCAAACGTTCACACACAATTTTATAAAGACCTATAAAAAATGGATACCCACCGAATATAAGCACTGAAGGAGCATGCATGATATAATCAAAAAAAGTGGGGAAAAAACTACTTGCCCATTTCACAGACTGGAAAGAAAGAGCTATTACCTGATAAATAAAAGCATATAGTAATGACTGCAGTATTTAATCTGAACCTTATAAAATGCAATATACAGAAATGTGGGTTTGATTAAACAATTAGGTTGTAGTACCATTAAAATTATACACTTTCCATGTTCTGATGATGCTCATATTTATGCACATGAAAGTAACGGGATGTACATAATCATGTTTTATGATGCTTATGGATTCAAATTTTTGTGATGATATCATATGCATATAAATATATTTGCCTTGATTAGGTATGTTTCTCATGGGGCACACTACGCCCTGTTTATCGTAAACTGCGCTATGTAATCTTGCTTTACAGTATGTATTTCTTACAGCACACTCTAGAAAACAATAGATCTTAAAGCATTTCAGGATACAGCTTTGTTTAAAACATCTCATTAACACAAGGGTTAATGTTTTTTCAACAGAAAGAAAAAAATGCTTGAGAACATAATTTGCTAGCAGCACTGAAAGTGTTGCATTTAATATTATTTTTGATGTTGGCTAATTAAGAATGAGTATCCTGTTAAAGGATCAGAATTTTTCTAATGTATTTTGTTCATTTTTTAGATTGTTATACAATTACTTGTCTCAGGATCCACATATAGACATATATACAGTACATAACATTCACTGACATCAACACTTTTATCTTTGAAGTCACATTGAAAGCACCATAAATGTTGTACTTAATTTTGTAAGATAACTATATATCCATATACAGTATAGGTGACTATTGCATAGTTTATTTTATCTTGTGCTTTATATTGTGACAGCATGATTTTATTTTTGTGTAGATTACATACGGATCACAGTTTGTTTTTCCAGCATTTTATATTTGGTTGCTGCTAACGGTCATTCTAATACTTTTTGCCGTGTTTTGTGAAACAGTGACTGTACATAGCTTGCTATGTTATTACATACAGTATACAGTAAAAGTGTACTTCAATAGGTCTATACAAACCACTTCCTCAAAATGACATATGGCCATTCAATAAATATCTAAATGCTGTTCACAACATTAATTTATTGGGTTAATGTTATATATAAAGTATATTTATTACACTAGTAGTTATTCATTATTTGTACATTATCAGTACAGTATATTACACACTATCTTACTGTGTTAACCTTTTTATTTTGAAACTGTAAACCCATATTCTGTTATTGCATATAACACAGTGATAATATGTTTTTTTATCTGTTTCTGAGGTATATGTGAGGAAAAAATTATTATTATTATTATTATTATTATTATTATTATTATTATTATTATTATAAATTTGGAATTGCATCAGGAGATAACCTAGACTGAATAAAAACACATTAAATTAAAAATACCAAAACAGGTATAGAGGCAAACAAGAATTTATGGAGAAAGTTCATTAGAAACAGAACATAATGGGTGATGGAAGTTAGTATTCTTAAACAATGAACTCAAATTACATAATCTCTGTGTTAAAATATCTCAGACTGCAGGCCATCAAAGCACAGATAGTGATTCTTCTGCCCAGGGGGTGTATTTCAATCAGGAAATAACCACAATTCCAATATACACAAAACTGTATCAATAGTGAATGATTTGTTTCTAAACACTTACCCTTTTTTGTTATTTAGATTTTAGTGATAATAAAACATTTTGTAAGAAACAAATAAAACTTTCTATTGGAAATGTATATATTATTTTGTTGTTACTTAGTTTTTCCTTTTTTCTTCTTTTCCAGTTACAGAGTATTTGTAGATAAAACTGGCAATATGCACCCCACACTATTACAGTCTATCTTCAGTATAATGGGAACGTTTTAAATATTCAAAATTTTGTCAAAAGACTAGTTCAACACTAGTTTTAAAAGACAGGTTGTTTGTTTTGGAAGTTGAAAGTACATCTAAATTTACATGTTTTACATGCTATATAAACGGGTATTTTATTTAAAGCCATTTTCCCTTATAAACACAATGGTTTGACATCAGGCCACTATTTCGGCGTTTTGGATTCAGTCAGCAGGCTGGCTTAAAGACAAGTGGCACATTTCTCAAAGCTTTTAAAAGGTCAGGGAGGACAAGCAATTATGCTGCTTTGTGTCAGGTATCAGAGGTTTTCAGAAATCTGGAGAAGACTTAATACAATTCATCAGATATAAGTACTGTACATTCTTACGGTGTGTTACAAAACAGGGAAAGACATGTGACATTTGGAGAAGCTGTGATCTGGTATCACAGCAGAGTCCTTTCAGGTCAATATCATGAGATATGAATAGAGAAGATAAGAACTGCCCACACCCGTATAACCTGTAAGCCCTAGAAGTAATAAACTCGTTAGTTTCTGATAAATATGACTGGTAACTAGGATACTAAAGCCTGTGATAAACTACCAACTTCTCATTTGTTATTGCGGAATCAATCAATGTGCAGTAAGGGCCTAAGTGAACCTGATGATTGCAAAGAATTAAGCATTACATTTCAGCATCCAGGTGTTTTTTTCTTCAGGAGTCATTTCCCAGTGCCGATATAACTTTATTACTCTTTTATATTGACAACAAGCAGCTTCTTGCTAAAATTGGGATGTACAGTACAGTGAAAGCAACAAATTTATCTTTGATATATATATTTTTAATACCTAATGCTCTAAATGTGTGTGTTGGGAATCAGATTGGAAGATCACCATTATTTAAGTATGCTGAGGACAAACGTATGGTTTTACATGATAAACTTTATTATACATAGTATTAATTTCTCGTCTTATGTAAAGTGCATTCATCGTTACTGTTTCCATTGTTGTATTGCCTTTGCACACCGTACTAAAAAACAATCTATTTTTATTTTGTCGTTTACAGCTCTAGATATTTGTGATTATTTTAAATTTTGGTTATGTACTGTAAGCTGCATACAAAAAGCCATAATGCTAAGTTTAAGTATGGTATTGTATAAAATCATTATGTTGTTTTTAGATTAGTACAGTAGAATCACTTCATAGCTTCAATAAAGTGTAATTTGAGATTTGTCAAGATATTGTAAACCATTAAGACATAACTCTTCATAAATGGAAACCAAAATTGTATCCAAATTTATTTAGGTTTCATATTTAAGGTGTTTTTTGTTTTGAAACAAATGTAATTGTAGGTTTAATTTATTTAAAAATAGTCATTTTAAAATACATTAAGAAACTGAGACTAAACATTATTTTTGTCAGGGATATTAAGTTGAAATCATGAAAGAATGAATGTATTTGCTTCAAACACTCACTTTAAGTTATATCTATTACATAATTATGTCTGTTGTGTTTGTGTTTACAAATCCCTGTAAGCAAAGTATGGTTTTATAAATTAAGGGAAGACTTCACTTCAGATTAACTACAGATATTGAGATACACTGTAGGTAACGTGAATGTGAGTGAGATACTTTTTGCAGAAAAGCAATAAAAGATTGTTTAACAACATGTTTGCATATTGTGAAGTTTATGATTTGTATGCTCATGTAACACTGCTGCTTTTTTATTCTTATATTTAGGTATTCATAAAGTTTCTGCCAAAATAAGCAATTTTAAACTTTGGTGAATCCATGTTTCTTAGTTAACTGCTCCTTCTTCCCATAAATACATACTGTAGTGTTCTTTTAACATTTTTTCACTTTTATTGATTTCCTTCTGATAATGAAACTGATGCATAGTGCATTAAACCAAAACTTCCATACTGTACATAAACATCATTCAAGTCTATTATTTTTTCATTTTGGGTATACTTGTTTTAATCATAACTTCTTATTACTTGATGTCATAGAAGCACATCAAATATTTTTTCACATAATTCATGATATACTGTACAGTACATGAAATTAAGAAATCCTACTGTATGTTGTAAAGTCAATGCAATGTAGACTGGCGTGACAGTGAAAGTGTCTTTTTTCAGTAGAATAACAAGCTCAAATACTGATGGTGCAATGTAAAATCCTACGTCCTTAATTAATTAAATACAGTACAGAAGATGCAGCATAACACATCTATGATTCCTCAGAAAATGATCTTTAAAGGGATCCACAGAGCCTTACCTGACAGATACACTCCAGATGGGACACCAGTCCAGCACTGACCATACTCAGTCATCCATGCAAAAGACATGTCTTTGAACTGTGTTCCAATCCACAATCAACCCCAGGACCTAAGAGATGATTAAGCACCATCCCATACAATTTATTATTTTTACTAGAAAAGATTTTCCAGGGAATTTCTTATGTTATAATATTTGTACCACTCTTTTATTGGTTATAACCTTTTTAAGAATTGTATAACGTAGTAATATAGGATACAGTATTTGGTATATTTGGTATTCAACATTTTCTAAGGATTCACCATTAAGATAGTGATCTACTAATAATACCAGTAGAGCCTTTCCTGATATACCGTCTCACACTTTTCCCATCTCATGTCATACATCAGCAAAACAGAGAAACCAGAGGAAAGATTATCCATTAAGGCGGGCATTTATATAAAAAAAACATACTGTTGGAAGCCTATATTACAGTACATAATCAAAATCTATTTTCTGCTGACTTTAAAAGCTCTGCAAGGCAAATGTAAAGGAGTACATCAGCAAAATTTGAAATGTAGCCACTAAATTACAAATAAAAATATTGTACCTTAAGTACCTTAAAAAAAACTATGCTTTAATGCTGCAGTAAAAAGCAGACAGAAGTAAAATTGTAGCAATTCAGTTGTGCAGCATTACATTTCATTACTCAGGAACAAGTAAAGGTTTATTTCACGCTGAAAAGAGAAGAAAGGCTCCACAGCCGAAACATTGTGTTTCCTTTTCAACATGGAATAAACCTTTACTTGTTCCTTGCAGCCTACGCATGCTGCTCCCATCTTGAACTATTTCATTACTCAGGTGTGGAACCTGAGTTCCGCAGTACCACGGCATTTCTTACACATTTTTACTTTTCAGTGTGGAAATAACCTCAACCTGTCCTTTTGCAGCTTGCATACTGACACAACTCAGCACTCATCTTTGTCCTTTAATACTGACCTCTTTTGCAACAATGAGCTTTGTGCCACATTCAATTTCAATTTCAAGTTACAATCAACAGAAAACGGTACGATATACCAAAACATAGTCTGCCTGTGAGAACATTGTATTACAAAAGCATAATTTCAATAAGATTCTTAAAATATAAACTAAAACTTGAAATCATTATTTATATGAATTAGATAAATTCTATCTACTGTACTGTTTCAGTGCAACTCTTCTGGCAGGTCCAGTGAACACAAAATGTTGGCTTTAGGTAACATTATGGACATGATGTGCTGAAATTTAAAGAAGAGTGACTGATCAGCAAAGCTTCCTATCAAAGGCTAATTTTTTCCTTAAAAGTGTCTTAAGAGTCTAGGACTCTGCTTTCTTCTTGTTGTTCATGAAATCCACATATACTGTATATGAAACTCTTACTCCCCTGACAAATGTTCTGCTGAGTCAGCACCTATGTTTAAACAATCTTTGAGCTGAGGGTCAGATTCTCTCTGTAGTAAAATACTGCAGTTACAGTATGTTGGAAGTATCTACAGTCAATTTTTACTTCTTTTAATAATAAGCAATAAGAAAATTAGGAGAGAATAGTAGAGTAACCTGGAGGATAAGAATGTGTGCTTATATACTGTATACAGTACTGTATAATTATAGTTTAGTGTAGGTTTTCTGATAGAAGGTCATGAAATGAAACGTTTGTGTTGTACTATTTCCTGAAAAAAGTAATATTAACCATCCAGCAACAGAGCAGAACTGCTCAGCTCTCTCCAGCTCTTTCCACACAGCCTGCTACAGTACGTCACCTATAAGTTAAAAATACCACTGGACTAGAGCTTTAAATTTCACTAACTGCCTGAATCAATCCTCACATACCCATCCACTCTTTCCAGCTTAAAGATAACTCCTCATCTTTTATTTCTAAAAAATGTGCATATTTTGATTAAAAACATTGCAATAAAACAGTAACTAAATATGCATTTTATCAATTTTGTTTCGATTTTCTTCAACCTTCCTCAATAGCCAGATTCATACTGTATATACAGTAAGTATTAATCCATTGGCTTTAAGGCCATGAAAATAACAATGATCAACAGAACAGACAACAGTAAGCACAACCTTATAGTAATCAGGTAAAATAAACACAAGAATCTCTTCTCTGCATCTTTCCATCTTGGTGATTAACACACTCCACTGTCATGAAAAGGGAAGTAAATCTGTCAGTAAGCCTGTAGAGTCATCTCTAGCCTGTCTTTGCGCACTCTGCCAACACAGAACCTGGAGCGTTTGTTACAATACAGGAATAAAACCATATTGAATTGCAGACAGGTAGTGAATACTTGGGCAGGGGGCAGGGAGAGGCTCATTCACTAATTCGATTTGTCTCACAATCCTAGTTTCTGGAGCTGTTAATCTGAAAATTGTTCTTAACATTCTTCGGCTCGGTTTCATCCCTTCTTCCATCCAAGACCCTTTCAGCCAGACCGAATTGCAAATAAGCAAATTTGCGAAGTTTAAATAAGTTGATGTCAGGACCTTACTGTACTGTAAAGAAATCTTATATGAGATGAGTCTTTCTCACTACTTTTGATGCAAGTGTACAGTATGTTTTCGTTTTTTTTTTTTATTAAAACAGAGCCCAGAGGCATCTTTCGTTGTTCATCTACTGTAGTTCTCTCCCAGCCAAACTACTAACAGCATTTTGGCAAGTGCAAAAAAAATATATCAATCATGCACTCCTCAAAAAATTGCAGTCCAAACATCATGTTACATTAACAGCATGTTCCCCAGAGGCTAGAGGCTTTAAACATTCTCCTTGTACTAGCCTTTCTTATCTTTCTGCTGGTGAGCTCAGGATTTTTCATTTAATTGAAACAGCTCAATGGTAGCTGTCTGTATTCTATGCATCAGCGGGATACAAGCACTTTTGAATGATGAATATTCTCTTTCAAGAACTCATGTTTATTGTTTATTTTAATTTGTATCTTACATAGTGCCAGCAGTCTCATTACACACCTGATCAGGTGGAGAAATGAGAAATTGCATCACCAATAGTTAGAAAAGAGTTTTAGGGAGATCACATTGTTCAAATACATAGTGGAATTTAGCCAGGACACTAGGATCAACACCTCTATTCTTACAAACTGTCATAGAATTAAAGACTAATTAGTAAGGACTTTATTTTAATATTGTGCACAAATTGGTTTTAAATTCTGATCCAGAGTGTCACCTACTGGTGCACCAACATCACCAACAACAACCTGCTTTCCTTAAAGATCTCCCATTTCAGTACTGATCAGATCCAGACTTGATCATAAATCATAAGGAATATAGGAATGATAAACATAGTATATTTTCTTTTTGGGTAATTACACGCATACATTTTATCATAGTAGAACAAAAACATACTTTGTGTTGATCCAAGTTAAGTGTCCATAAGAACTTTCACAAGTACAGTACATTTACAGTTGATATTTTGCAGCTTATCCTTCTGAAGCAATAATGAAATCAAAGACCCATTGAGTTCAAGTCTCTGTATATTCATTGGAGATATTATACTGTAGCCACTTTTGGGTTGTTGCCTATTTTTGGGGAGTCCTGACTTTTTTCAGCTTGTGATATGCATGCTCCATTGTATATACTGTACATCTACAGTGTGACTTGGCCACTCTAATATCTTGCCCCTTTTTTCCTCCTGATTACCTCTTTGGTTGCATTTTTCATTTGTTTTGGGTCATTGTCATGCTGAGTCCTAATGTAACGAACAGTTCTATCCAGGCCCTATGCGGACGACACGATCCAGGGAAAAGTGAAGAAAACACGGGGGAAAAAGTCATGCCTGATACAGGGATGAAAACAGGGGGCGTGTCCTTGGTGCTCTGGTGTTCGGGGGAGGTGTGGCCGAGGAAAACAATCCAGGAAGAAGTCCAAAGGAGAATCCAAAAGGAGGCAAAAGTCCAAAGCCGGGCGGTCCATCCTAGACGGATGATTAAAAATAGGAACCGGGTCAGAACCGGCAGGGGAAACGTGAACAGAAAATAAAACCTTAACGGGACCGGGCGCTTCCATGTCCCGAACATGCCTGGTGCAGAAACCAGAGCAGAGCCATGAACTGAGTGGGCGTCTGGCTTTTAATGGGGGCTGGGAGGACGCTGGAAGAAGGGGCAGGTGCATAAAATCAGGTCCGAAGTGAAAGAGCCAGAGCGCCCTTTCGGGAGTACAATCGTGACACCTAAAGCATCACCCAATAAGGTGGGAAGCATTTTCTTCTACATTAAATGAGAAGATGCTTCTATATTTTTGTGTTGCTGCTGCAATCATTAGTTACAATAGTTACAGCACATCATTAGTTACCTCATCAGTAAAGATGAGTCATTATGTTCAAGGGGTGCCTATGCCCCTATGCCTCACATTACCTCCA